ACTTTAGTATTTCTTCTATTGCCTCATCTATCAAATTCGTAAAAGCATAAAAACTTACTATTATCAGATCCTACTATCAGACAAAGGTTACTATATTCCAGAAAACAAACAAGGGAGTATTCACAAAGGGTGTAAAAGTGAAGCCTGCAGGCATACAGACACAAAGAAAAATAGAAGAGGTAGGCTCTTTCAAAGCTGATTTTTTTTCCTAGTAAGGTAATTAGGTGGCACACCTGTGTCTAGACTACTAGGTACAACACATATGGCTTGGACAGCCTAGAAAAGGTCATTTGATTGGTCCCTCAAAATTTTTAACAAAGATGAAACCTAAGATCTAGTCTTGTCCTTATCATTTATGTGGTCTCAAGCAAATCACATAAGCTTTCAGAGCTTCAGCTCTCAGTAAAGACGAGACAACAGTTAAGATATTTGAAAATATGCCAAGAGCTGCATGAACACACTGCCATCAAGTCAGAAGTGACTCATGGCTGACCCTTCGGATTTTCTGAGGCTCTAATCCTCAAGGGTCACCAGCAGAGATGAACTACCAGAAAGGAGCTACCTTTAGGTTTGAGCAGCACAGCTTCCTATGGACTAGACCACAGGAGTCACACCGATTGTTACGTGCTGCTGAATCGAGTAAAACTCACAGCAACCTTATGAACAACAGTTCTGAACCCTGTTCTATCTTGTGCTGTCCTCATCATCTCCATCAAGGGCACTGTTGAGCTCTTTGTGGCAGTTGCTTTGCCAATCCATCTCATTAAGGGTTTTCCTCTTTTGCTTACCTGCCACATTTTCTAGAATGATGTCCTTTTTCATGGCATAGTCTCTCCTAGCAACATGTCCAAAGTACGTGAGACTAAGTTTCTCCATCCTTGCCTCCCAGGAAAATTCTGGTTGCACTGACTGTTCTCTTATTAGTCAACGGAATTGACAGTGCCCACCATTATATTCCTGCAAGGCATAAATGTGCTCCAAGATTTCTTACACAGAATGATCTTTAACACACAGCCAAAAGAGACAAGCAGTATAATAGCATGACAGCATGTACAAATCTATCATTTATGTTATTATGTACTTTCAAGAGTCAACTCAGCTCCAGTAGGCTTTCAGAAGCAATAAATCACATGGGAGCAGACTGTCCATCTTTCTCCTGCAGAGCAACTGGTGATTTAAACTGGTGTGTCTCAGTATGCAGTCCAACTCTACCACAAAGCCACCAGAGCTCCCTCAACCATTCGTGTTGTTGTGTACCCTAAAGTCAGAACCAACTCACAGCTCCTCCAACAGGTTTTCAGAGCTAGTAAATTGCACAGGAAGAGAATAGAATACCCATCTCTCTCCAGTGGAACAGCTGGTGGATTTTTGCATCTTTGCATTGGCAGTGTTAATTCCTTACCACTAAGCTACCAGAACTAAAGCAATCTAAAATTCTTAGACTGGCAATGGCTAGTCAGTGACAGAATTCTCACCTAACATGCAGAATTATCTAGGTTCTCTTCTCAGCCAATGCTTCTCATCGATGTCTGCAGTGGTGGTTTGCCTGTTCCCATGATGATGAGTATGTTTCAGGAGTTTCTGGACTAGGACTTGAAAAAAGGATCTGGTGATCTACTTCTGAATACTAGCCAGTGAAAACACTATGGACCTCAACAGACAAAAGATTCTGATGTGCACAGGGATGGAGGCAGACTGGATGGTAGTTAACAAAGCCAAAGACTCGTATTTACTAGGCCATAGCTTGGAGTGTTTTTAAAATTACATTCTGCTTCATAAAGCTACTCTTGATTCGTCTTCTGCAGAATCCTACCTCTTTACCTTATACCCAACTCTGCAATTCAGTCTTTCACAACGAATGCCAAGCACGTGTCTAAGGGTAATTTATAAAAGGCAGATTTTAAAGGAATATTTGAAAATACAAGCTTCCTGTAAATGCCAGAGGGGTAAGTGACTACAAGTGAGATCAGAACTACAGAATCTAAATTTAAATTCAGAGCTGGAAGGACAGTATTGTACTACAAAAGGTTTCCCACTAGCTGCTGACAAATGACTATCCAAAGAAAAAAGATGTACCTAATTTGGCAGCAGTCTTCTTTTGTAAAAGTCATTAACAGTTTTATTTAAGGTGGCCTTACAGCACAATACAAAAATGCTACACAACGCACTTATAAATGTCCAAGTAGTTTTTAAATCACCGTTAATTAATTCCAAACTATTAAGAAAGCAGAAAGAAGCAGGTAGCTTTACTAAACTGGAGGTGGTGGTGTTATTTAAGCCACAAATTCAGGCTTTGTATTAAATTTCTGCATCCATCAAAACTAGCTGACGAATAATTCCCAAACATGAAAACTCAAAAACTAACTTCACTTTTACCTTCTAAGCTTTAAAATAGGTTACAGTTTAAGATCTACAGTATCAATTACAAAAGCTAATGCAAATTAAGTCACTAATAAATTTTACAAAAAAATCTGAAGGTCTTCTAAAGAGGACTATCAGATAGGAACAAGTTGAGTTAAATGAAGAACAAAAGAACTACCTACTTTTCTACCTGGAAAAGGTACAAGAGCTTCAATTTAAAAGCATTTAGCAACAAAAAGCACTAATAGCTTGACCTGAAAGTAGGGATGCTCTAATCTCATGTTCTCTCATTTCACTAGTTACTAATAAATGTATGCATAATGCACAACAGACCATTTGGGATACTAATATATATTAATTTTGTTATTCCTGTCTAACTGATAATTTTTCTGAGGCCAAAACCAGTATCTTAATAAATACTTGGAAGGAAAAACTGACTTAATACTCAAATTGAGGTGGCTTGCTGGTAAATTGCACAGCCAACCCAGAGTGAGCAGTCAGAACCCATCACATGCTTGTGGGATAAAGAGGAGCAATCTAACTGCCTCTGAAAACTGCTAGAGAGGCAGCTACTTGTCACTTCTAACTGCAGGGTACACAAACTAACTGGATTCAAGAGATTGTTCAAGTGTTGGTAGGTCATCAAAGTGCTCAAGATATGATCATTTCAACTGCTCCCTTCAAATCTTCAAATGCTCAATCTGTACTTCCATCTCTAAATGCAATTAACCAGTTGTTAAGTTTTAAACAAACAAAAAGATTTCAAAAGGAATTGTTATTTATGGTAACAACAACTAAAGGTAAAAACTTGTCCACGCACTAGTTAAATCCTTTATTGCTACTTTCTGTTACAAAAAATTAGAGTGTGGGATAAAAGGACACATAATTATTAAACTCCCCCAGTTTTTCAAAGTATTAACAATGTACATTATGTGTTCCCTTATACCACAAAAAAACCCTTAAGAGCAATTGTCTATAAATATACTAAAAAAGATAAAAATTATAAAACCATTGAAAGTAATTTAATTCAAAACTAATTCAGAAGAGGACTAAAAACTTCCATGACAGTTCTGTCTCTGAGACTTTTCTGATGCAAATTAATGATCTAGACCAAAAACGTAGGGACATCATTTCATTAAGCCAAGGATTATTACAGCAAGTTTTTAAAAAAACCTACACAATATCCTAGCAGAGTAAATAACTGAATGTTGTCAGGTTTTCCACCACTTAAGATTTCAATTGCCATCAGGGCATGATTTCCAGCACACGTCAAACACTTGCAATTTATCCAGAATTTATAAGCTCAACATAGATCAAATTAACCCTGTATCTGGAAGCCATCCTTCTTATTTTTAACCTATATTCTGCAGGTGAGATCTGACACTCAAGGCCTTCATTTCCTTCAATTACACAAGTTCATTTAAAGATTATCTTCTCAAAGGTCTTTTCTCAAATGTCTGCTCAGATTTAAAAAAAAAAAAAGGACTCGAGATCTACGTATGTGAGCTTGACTTCCTGCTGGCAGAAATTTCCCATCACCTCGCTAAGAGTTTCACATCTAATTGAGGAACATAGTCCACGTTCATTTGCATTTATTCACTTTTCTTAAAAAAAAAAAAAAATCCCTGCTTTTCCTTAAAGCTGTTAGGGCTGCATGTCGATCAGCCACTCACTATCAATCCAGGTAGAATGGAAGCTCAATGCCTCCTCTTCCTTTGTTACAGTCCTCTGCCACCCTGGCTCGTCTCCCTGGAAGCCTACCACTGGCCGCAAGTACGAATGAATGCCGCCGCAGTCTTTTTCGGCAGCTGGATCTCTTTCGAGGTTGATCCTCTCCCCAACGATCAGTGCTCCCAGGGGCAAAGGTGGCCTGGGAACGCACAGACACTGGAGGCAAATAAAGCCCGCTCAGGGACTAGGAGTCAGGCAGCCTGAGCTCAAATACCTCCCTCTCTTACCGTCTGCATGCCTTTAGCCATGCCGCTCCACCTCGGTGCTCTAGAATCCGCTGTAAAACGAGGGAAACAATTGTACCTATCTCATCAGGTCGCTGGATGGATTAACGAAATACATACAAATTACTCAGCACGGGGTCAGGCCCCAGGAGAATTGTTTAACAATATTTAGTCATTATTATGGCTAATTCTTCATGCACTGGCTGCTCCCTCTACGGTCCCTATTAAGGTGGAAAAATTGATCTTACTTGGGGGGATCGCCCCCTGCTCTCCTAATCAGACCAAATTTGATATCCTCGGGGCGGGGAGGAAATACTTGGCAAGCGCGTGGGTGGAGAAGGGGTGGGCGCGAGGGCCGGCGGGAAAAGCTAGCGAGTCGGCTCGCTGACTGCCTCCTGGCCGCGCGAGGCTCCCGGCCTTCCGCGATTGCCCTGCGGCCCGGGCGGTGGCCAGAGCTCGCTTTCGCCCCGCGTGGCCGTTGGGTGCGACACGTGCACGCGGCGGCCACGGCCTCGCGCTCCAGCTGATGGGGGTGGGGGAGGCAGACAGCCACTGCGCGCGCCTGCGGCCGTTGGGCTGGGTGGGCGCGCCTTGCGTGGTCGGGGCTCGGACTTCTCCAGCTAACAACCGCCCCAGCTCAGCTTTGGCCTCGGGCGACTCCGCCCCAGCCACGTTTCAGCTTACCTGCGCGGCTGATCGGGAGAGGAACAAGCTTTGCTCCAAAGCAGGGCGGTGGCAAAATACCCTAACGCAACTGCGTCCGCACACACGCGTGCTCAGCCGCCGGTCTATATAACCACGACTCAGCCTAACTTGTCCGGCAAGGCCGGACGAACAGACAGCCAATCCCGAATGCGCTCTCTGAGCTCTTCGAACCACAATTGGTTACTGACTCAGAGTGAAGGCGTGGCTCTTGATTGGCTTGGGCTTGGGCGTATGAAACCGTAAGGATTTCGTTTCCCTAGTAACGGATTGGCACCCAGAAAACCCAATAACTTAAAGATATAGTGGAAAAGTGGGCGGGAATGTATGTGACCGATACCCAGTATAACCAATGAATCTACGGTTCTGCTCTCATTCGCTAATATATCTTCCTCTGGGCGGAGATTCGTTTTCAATGCAGGAGCGGTTGATCCACAAGGTGGGGCCCGTGTACTTTGGGGAAGTAAACCCCAAGTAACCAGGAGGTGGGATTCAGAGAGGCCAAGGGAGGCTAGAGCCAATTGCAACGGTGGAAGGGGCTGATTGACAGAGGCATTGGACGGCTCCAAGGAGACCAAGCCCCAGGGCCGCCGTGCCCTCTGGGTCGTTGATAAAGTTTCCTGGCTCGCCATTTAGTTCTTTCTTTCTCTTACTTTGATCTGCCCGTAGAGTTCTCTTTCCCGCCCTTTCCGCATGGTTTCGTAGCAGGGGAATCAAATGCTCCAAGTTTCCTATTTTGTTTTTATTGTTTTTTTGTTGGATTTGTAGGATTTTTTAAAGTCCTGTAATGACTTTATTTCCAAATAGCAGCCTAAGGACACTTGGCAGACTATTTTTAGCCGGCATTATTGTCTTTTTTAAAAAGCCCTCAAACTCATTTCCTTGGTTGGTGTCAGAGCTGACTCTATAGAGGATCTTCAGGGGCTATAAACCGCATGGAAGATAGCCCAACTTTCTCCCGCAAAGCCTCCGCAGAACAACGTCACCAGAGCTCCCTTAGGACTATTGCTGGATAAAGGAAATCCAAGAAAGTAGCTCTTACTATATTTGTAAAAGAATAATTATAAGATCACATGAAAACTGACGTTTAGTTTGAGAATGTACCTTTATTTCCATTGCGCGTAGACCGGAGTTCTGGTGGTGCAGTGGTTACGAACTGGACTGTTAGCCTAATGGTTGGCTACAACAGTCTCCTGCAGAAGATGCAGGAGTTGGTTTTTCTACGCATTAAAGCCTGCGAAATCCTACGGGACAGGTCTACTGTGTCCTCTAGGCTTTTTTAAGAAACGGTTTCTTTTTCCCCGTTTGGCTTCTTGCCAAATGCTGTTGTTGGTTGGCCCAGTCCCTAATTAGTTTTATGCGCTTTTGAGTTAGATTGTCCCTCTGGATCATTGGAGAGAAATGGTAGTTTGTAAATTTTTCCATCAAATGTTGGTCTAAATGAGACATTGTGTGCATATGCACCATTATCATTCCTTTCTTCTTTTTTTTTTTTTTACTCAAAATGTGATTTATTTTTATTTCAGTGTATTACATTAGCATACAAAGAATATATACATTTGAAAAGAAACTGCTATCCTAAGAGGGCAAGTTGGACCTCATGGTCAGGGGGAGATACCCTGTGTCCCAGCTCAGGAGGAAGGGGTCCTGTAGCAAGTAACATTTGTACAGGCTGGGACCTCTTCTATTACCCTGGTCACCTCTCTGTCGCCATTGCTGGGGTTCTCCATGGACCATCAGTGAGCAAAAATTATGACTACTGATTCTACCAAGAGCTTACAAAGGACTGTTTTTAAAATGAGCTACAGAATTACTACTGTGGGTGAGTCAGATCTGGGACAGAAGGATAATCCTAGTTCTCTCCCTGGTCTCCAGAAATGGCGTCGCTAGCTTTTAAAGATGTCACAGAAGTTTGTTGTGAGGGAAATCAAAAGTTTCTTGATTATTACCTAAAAGGCACTTACACACATTTTCACTTAAAAAGGTGATTAAGAGAGAAATCCTGAGCCATTCTCTTATCCTGAATGATAAATATTCTGGATTGTAAATAGTATTAAAAAAAATTACAAAATGAAATTTTGTATTTAATTGTTCTGCTTCTGGAAAAATGGCCAGTGATTCTCCACGTCCACCCACAGCCACATGGACAGATTTCCCCACAGACTCTCAGAAAGTAGACTCAACATTGCCCATCTCCACGCACACAGTCTTCAGTTGTGAATAATATTCAATTGTCACACGACCATTTTCTCTGCCAAATCCTGACTTTTTGTATCCACCAAAAGGCAACTTGACTGGACTGACATTGTAGTTGTTAATGAAGCACACTCCAGCCTGAAGCTCAGCCACCACGCGATGAGCCCTCTGGAGATCCCTGGTGAAGACACCAGCTGCTAGTCCAAAAATGGTATCATTGGCTCTTTCCACAACCTCGGCTTCAGTGTCAAATGATAAGATGGACATAACAGGTCCAAAGATCTCTTCTTTCTCGCAAGTCATGTCATCTCTGTAATTAGTTAATACACAAGGTGTCATGTAATATCCATCCTTTAACTTGGGATCTTCAGGCACATATAAATCTCCACCACATAAAACTCTCGCACCCTGCTCCCTTGCCAGTTTAACAAACTCAAGGACTCGCTCCAGATGTGGCTGGTTAATGAGGGGACCCATCCTTGTATCTTCCAGAAGGGGATCTCCAATTTTTATCTTTTGGGTGAGCTTCACCACTTCTTCTGTAAATTTATCAAGGATTTGCTTTTGTACAAATACCCTTGTGCCATTCCAGCAACCCTCGCCCTGTGTGAGGAAATTGGCCATCAGTGCCCCCTTCACAGCATTCTGCAAATCACAATCTGAGAAGATTATGAGTGGAGATTTGCCTCCAAGTTCCAAGGTCACAGGTTTGATTCCTTTCGCTGCCATCTCCATGACCTTTGAGCAGGTAGGCACACTTCCCATGAAGGAGACTTTGGCCACATCACGATACTGGCACAGAAGCTGGCCTGTGACAGACCCTCCTTGCACCACATTGAAGAGCCCTGGAGGGACACCAGCCTGAATATAGATTTCAGCCAGCAATAATGCAAACAGGAGTGAAGGGAGATGGTTTAAAGATCATGGCGTTACCACAAGCTAAAGCTGGAGCAGACTTCCAACAGGCAATCTGAAAAGGGTAGTTCCACGTTCCTATACCCACACATACTCCAAGTGGTTCTCTTCTGGTATAACCAAAGGATCCATCGGAGAGCTCAACATATTCACCAGCCAATGAAGCAGCCAAGCCTGCAAAGTACTCCAGGCACTGCCACGAAGTATCGACATCCCACCTGGCCTCAAAGATGGACTTGCCATTGTTGATGCTCTCCACAGTAGCAATTTCCTTCTTCCGTTCCCTTATTATCCTGGCAGCCTCCAAAAGGATTCGGTAACACTCCATGCCACAAAATTTGCTCCATATTTTAAAGGCATTCTTTGCATTTTGAACAGCCAAATTTACTTCCTTTTCTCCTGAACATGTGAAAGTCGCTATCACTCGTCCCGTCGCTGGCTCGAAAACCTTCTTGGTGCCGGAAGAGTTGGCTGGCTCCACGTAGGACCCATTGCGGTAATTGAGCGGCCGTGACACGACAAAGGTGCCAGTACTCATGGTGGCTTTGGAAGCTGGCCGAAAAACGCCAAGAAGCGGAGCACGCACAACCAGGCCCACTCTGAGAAGCATGGGAGGACGCCCGAAACTCCTATCATTCCTTTCTAAGAGCTGAATATATAGGCTATGAGACTCAGATAATGACTGCTGCTTTTTTCCTTCTTGTTATATCTGCAAGAGGTAGATGCATCTCTTGCCTAGACATTTTAAAGATTGCTCAAAACACTAATACTTGAAATAAAAAAACCAAAGACCACTTGAAGTAGAGGGGCTATGTGGACATGCAACAATCGTCCTACTTCATAAGTATTGTGTGGCCCCCGATGGTCACCAACCTTTTCTATGAGAATATCGTTTATTCCAGTAAAGGAAGCATAGACAACACTCAGCCCAGTCTCATTCCTAGTATTACAACAAGCCAGAAAGTTCACCCACTAAATTGGTGGTTTTGGTATATTTCTCTCTTTAAATCTTGCTACTATAGTTGCAAATGAAGCACTAGAACATCTCTGGATGAGGAAAGAAGACAAGCAGGCTGCCCTAGTCCAGATTTAGAAGGAACAAGTATTGACTTTAAGTGAGGTTTAGATTCAACCTCTTAACATGTTTTTGACTGGAAGGAAAAAGGGCTCAGGAGTGATGAAGATGTCCTCACTGATACCACAAGGCTCCACTCAAATCTGTCTCATTCATTTAGGTGATCAAGATGCTGTTACTGCTACTAATTCAGCAGAAAGGTACTGCAACTGTGACGTGAGTCAAGTCCCAAACAAGAGTCACAGGTTTGTAGAGACAAGAAGGAACTCAACCTACAGAAGAGGTAGCTAAACTACCTTTAAAATTGTTTAAGGCATGCTAGAGAATCTGGTCTTTATTCTGAAGGAGGAGAGCTCCTGGAAAGATTTTTTTAAAAGGTAGATTAGGGACTTAGCATTTACAAAGATGGCACTCCTGAGCAATTTTTTTAATGATAATCTT